CAAGCTTTTGCTGGTGCCCTGCAGCCATACTGGGAGGCTATTTCTTTACTTAAAAGGTTCTCACTAACAAGGCAAGTTTGAGCATGAGCTAGATATTTGGCAACAAATAAGCTTCAAATCACAGCGATTCTGTTAGTCACAATGTTCATGTAGTCAATACTGAGGTCACAAACCTGTCTGCCGACATTCTCCTGGAAGGCAGCCTGGGACAAAAAGAGACAAAATGAACTGCTGTCCTGTAACTGTATGTCTTAGTTAGGAAAGCATGGGATGTCGAAAAGAGAACTTACAGATGCAGCTCTGCGGCAGTTAACATTTCGATCAAACACAGCAGTGATCAGCAAAGCACTGCAGAAAGACACAAAGTATGTGTTAAATACATTCAACCACCACCAAACGTGTTGGAGAAGGTAATAACTTTTTCTTGTCACAGGGCGTTAAGTAAAGATGAATCAGCCTTCTTGTACTTTGTTTTTATAATTTTTCTGCTTGACGGATACTTCAATTTTAGAAAATTCTGTAGTTAACGCTTAAATACAGTTTTTATGCATATGGAATTAAAAATATACTAATATAAATGTTAGACTGCCCCATTCCTGTGAAATTAACCTCAATCTTCACCAACAGTGTACAGATTCTTATGAGCGCACAGATGAGTCAGATGCTAGGTTTCAATTACATCATTATTGCAAACTGTGATTGTGAACCACAGATTCTCAGCACAGACGGTAAACCATAATATGATTAAGCATGACTGCCTTCTGACCTAAATATCCCCACACCACGTTTAAGTGGGGGCCAACCTGTGACAGGCTGAGAATGACTGCTGTTGTCCTTTTTCCCTTCATGTACCCAGCTTCAGCAAGATCCCAGCATGGAGATTTACCAGCTGCCCAATTTGGCTATGCTAACTGCCCTCACCCTGAGGGTTTAGAAAACAAACTTCCTGGCTGAACTCTAGACATAAAGGTTACTCTAAATTACTTTTACCACTGCTACAATTAGTATATAGTTTATTTATTTAAGTTAGTAAGAATACAAGTGCATGAGTGTGCCCCCAAGCCACTGACAAAAGTGAGTTTTCTGTGAATGTCATCAAGCTTTGATGAATAGAGCAGGAACCAGCTTGTCTTAGCTTTGCTGCCAAACGGCGACCGAAACCTACAACAGCAGGCGAAACCTGGCAGTCCTGTAGGCTAGAGAAAGGGAGGGTGTTGTCGCGACTGCTGATGATAATTTGCAGGGGTTCAAACTGACACTGCAGAGCTGGTCTGCACAGTCACAGGCCACAGGTCCATACATGCACACCAAGAAAAAGAGCTCAAGGATGAGATAAACCGTTACTATTAACAAAGACTGAACACATGTCAATGGGTGATGTCGTACTTCTCTGCATGGTTGCTCATTAGATGGGAAAATCTCCCGATCTTGGTTTTTATTTTTAGAGCTAGTTCTGATTTTAAAGTGAGGAATATAAAACATTTTACTCAGCAAGTACCGTCTGTTAATGTTCATGTAAAAACAAACAAACAAACAAACAAACAAAGATTTCAGTACTTCTTGCCATGCCCGTATAAGCATGCTGCATGCAAATGAAGTCTTAACTAAATGCCGGCAGTTTAACATAGCGGCTGCTGCAGCAACACGAGGGGAAAACATGCAGAAAGAAATGCACGTCTAATAGAGATAATGCAGTCTAAGGTAACAGAACATAAAAATCATTTTTATAAATTTGATGAGGACTGTAGGAAAAGACCAGATTTTGGTTCCTTGTTTTTCTAAAATAAATTTCCCTTCATGCTGCACCAGGGTTAAAAAATACTGAGATAAACCTTTCTGCACCAAACCTATAAACCTTCTGTTTTTCAGTCAAACACCAAAACAGAGCAAAATGTGCTCTTTAGCAGATATGCTAGATAATACTCCAAATGTCAATGTCCTGCAAACCAGGAATGCAGATCTTTAGATACTGGATCTCATTTCAAAACCGAAACGTAATATAAAAAGTTCTATGTAAAAAAAAAAAAGGACTATAGCCTTTATTTAGCATATAAAGCCCATGTTGTGCATTTGCTTTAAAAACAACAACAACAAAAAAGTACTTTTCCCACCCACTGCCTCAGACAATTGGAGCTTTACTGAATCTATTTGATTTTTACAACATAAAAATCCAAACTTGTAGCCTATTCTAAATTGAACACATGAAAACATTATCAAATGGCGATGCATGTTGCCTGTGTGGGGACATGCAAGACTGATATGACACAGAAAAACTGGTTTGAGGCAGTAAAAACACCTTGCAGTTTCTATGCAAATTGTAATGATAATGTCACTCCTAACAGCTGCAATCAAATGACTTGACTGATTACTTGACATGTCACGTGCATTAATTAGAAAGGTATTTCTAATTCTTAAATGCATTAACTTTAAACTGCTCAGGAGGATAAATGCTAACTTTGCTTGAATATTAAACCGCAGCAAAGTACTGAAGAAATCTAATGAAACTGGAGATAATTCTCCAAGTAATTATTTTGCATTTTACTAGTGGAATAACGATAATAGTTTTCCTCTGGGGAAATGAGGTTTGTTATACATTTTCTATAACAAGTGAAATTACTTTGAAAAAGTAATTAATTATAGTTACAAGTTACTTCTTCAAAAAAAGTAACTGAGTTACAATATTCTAAAAGTAATTAATTACTTGAAAAGTAACTATTGCCTTACTAAAAAAAAAAAAAAATGTAACCCTCTGGGGTCCAGGGTATAATTAGCCATTTTTCACTACTTTTGATGTTTCCTCTACATTTCACCGTTAAAAACTATTTACTTTGCCTTGATTGGTGTCATTGTTTTTCAGCACAACCTCACGTGTTTGAATTTACAGTTATGTTTTCATTTTGATATACTGTATTAACGCAATTGATCTAAAATCAGACAAAAAAAACATAAATTCCAAGTAGAAAAGGTCTTTTACTGTAACAACCACAAACATGTTTATTTAATCATATTTCATAACTTTAAATGCAAATATAAATTGCCAATTTTAAAATCATATGCACAAGTTTTGCAAACAACAAGTTATTTGCAGCCATTTACCTTTTACCCTTTTTAAAAAAAAACATTTCAAACTATTTACAGAACAATCAGCTGTTCTGCATTCAATAAGATGCCACACAAATTATTTGTGCCACTCCAAAAAAATAATTTCTGTCCACTATAAAGGAGAACATCACAGCTTGATACCTGCAGATAGCAGTCACCTCATTGCTCGGACACACAACACAAAACTATCCACAACACTACACACTAACTACACAAGACAACACATTAACTACACACTCCAAACACGCTAAACGTCACACATCTCTCACATCTCAAAACTGGCTCTCTCTCTTTTTTTCTGCTCTCTCTCTCTCGCCATCACTCCTAAAACTTCCCCCTATTCGTAAACAACCAAATGTCAGGTTGTCATATCATTTTTTGATTGGTCGACATTTTTCCACCAACTCGAAAGAGGTGTTTTTTGTTTGTTTGTTTTTTGGTCATAAGCAGAGAGTGCTTGCTAGCGCTGTCCTTAGACCGTAAACGTGATGAAACTATTGAGGAAAAATGCGTATATATTGTTTATCATGACTCTGGTTTTACGTGGCCTATCAACACAATTTAAAAACTGGTATATATCACCTTGTTGCTTTGTCATCTTTAAGTGGTCATGTGATTGGGTTACCACGACTACTTTATTCTTCCTCAGTCAAACAGCAGCACTCATGCGATTGTTTTGCCCCCTTAGCTCCAGGTGTTGTGCAAAAAAGTGATCGTCGGCCAGAAAGTGATTGCCGCCCGTGGGAGCGTGCCGCTGCTTAAAGCTGTAGCGTCCAGATTACTTACAGCTACTTCCGTGCAACTGATTATAGGTGCTGGAAGCTAAACACAGCTTCAACCGTCTGTTTGTTGAAAAATAGTAACGCGACCGCTCCGCATTTTCTTGTTAGTAACGGTAACGGCGTTGTAACGATAGGAATTGTAATTAGTTAGATTACTCGTTACTGAAAAAAGTAACACCGTTACTTGTAACGCCGTTATTCCCATCATTGCCTATGTGTAGCAGTGTTTCATGTGTATAAGGGAAGGTTACCTGGCAATCTGAGTGACAAAAGGTTTGAGCTCCTTGGGTTCATAAGCCCTCGCAAAAGACCAGCAGACGTAGCAGGCAGCATCACGCACATTGGAACCAACACTGCACGCTCCTCTCTTTTCCTCGTAGATTAGGGACTTGATAATGAGTGGCACAACTGCAAGCAGACACCGCAGTGAGATGAAAAGTTGTCAGAAATGTCCAAAATATATATTACACAAACTGCATGAAATGTTTTTGGTAAGCAAAGATCACTACTTTATCTTCACAAAGCTTGACTTTTGCAATTCCAGATTAAAGGAGAGTAATACAACATGAAAATAAGCTAGCACCAGTTCATAAGACTTTTCAAGGTCAGATTATGAACAATATAGTAAGTGCATGTTATTTAGGATGATTATCAAAATAAATCTGTTTCATAATAACAGAACATTTGTTTTAACAGAAAATAAAAAGGACTAATAGGAGAATAAATGGCCTGCCTGCTATTAAACTTTATTTAAAACTTCATATACATTATTTGTTCAGTTGGAACCAGAAAGGGGAAGAAGGATTGCAACCCCCCCACATGTAAATCATTGCTTGAGGCTTGACTAATACCAGGTACATCAGTGTTGCCCGAGGGCCTTGCTGTTTAGATGAAAGCTCCACCCACAGGTGAGACAACTCCTCAGAGATAGAAACTCACCACACAACAAATATCAAACACATTCATGATCACACACACGTTCACCCACTCTGAACTCCGAGCACGTACCGACGGAGGTGTCCTGACCAGAAAGTGCCGTGCGGCGTGAAGCGTGGAGCAGCCCACTGGATAAAGAGGATAAGATACTGACCCTTTGGCTAGAGAAGGTAGGGTTTGTTTTGTTTTTTTCTTTTTTTGTCTTTCTTTTATTAACACTAAACTTATTTTCAGTACTCTATCAAAGCATTTCTGTGCCAATGGATAAGACCGACTGTGATTTGTAATGGTGTTTCTAACCATTTTTATTGGCTGCATTTAAGGGTAGGGATAACTGTGCACCTGCTACCTCTTGATCTTAATTAGTCCCTGCTCAGGCTGCAGTAACTGAGCCACAGGTAAATATCTGAGCTCTGCAGACAACCTTTTAACCAGGTCTAAAATACTTATTTAGACAGCAGACAGACAGCCTTCTTTAAAGAATATCATCTTTAAAAAACTAAACTTACCTGATCTCACTCCATCCAGATTTATTTAAAAAAAACAAGTAAGTTTAGATCCTTTATTTTGTTTTTTGTTTTTGTTTTTTTAAAGCTGTATTATAATGAAAATAAAGACTTGTTATAAGAAGACTTTCGAAAGACTTTTACTTCTTAAGAAGGGAGTGGTTTTGCATGCTACCACAGTTGGGACAGAAACTCGAGTGGCAACTTCTTGCAACAGCGCATGACAAGCAGGTTCCTCTGAGTCCGCCCACCAACACTGAACTTACAGCTTTAGGTGATGATTCGTTTCAGAAGCCTGAAGTGCTACAGATGCCATCCTTGTTTGCAGACTTACTAATTGCTGATATTGTTCAGCTAGCGTGAACGCTGTATCACAAGAAAAACTATTAAACAATTACTTCCAATACTCATGCGTCTCCTGAGCTGGTGAGCTCATCAAGTGATAAATTCATCCCGCAGGTGTAGTCATGGGAAGCAGGTGGCTGGTGGTTCCCACGCCGACAGCGCAGAGTTTAGTAGATTGAGAGCGAGAGAGGGAGCGAGCTTGTCTCTACATGCCCTCGAGGTTTGTGCTAGAAAGTGTGTAGTCTAACTGTCTAGTGGATTAGCGACTCTCTAACATTAGAGGCGTGATGAGCAAAGCAATCGCAAAACCGACTGCCGAGTGAAAGTGCGAAACATGTGGAGGTGTTTGCAGGCTGCCGTCAATCAACCAAAACGAAACTAGGACAGAACTGCATCTATGCAAACGTGTGGCAACATTTTTGCATATGGTAGGCTACTTTACATATTTGGGTATATTTCTGTTTGGTGTCCAAAGCACTGTGAAGTTGCAGAAATACATTAGCCCGAGGGCTCGGTGTTTTGTGCAGCTAGAGATTTTCTGGCTGAGCAGCTGAAGAAAAACTCACCGAAAAATCAACCACTTTTTACGGTAACCAGTCAAACAACTTGAGCAGGCTCATTACTTGACAGCAAGCTTGGGAATCTGGTACAGAGTAGGGTTGGGCATTTGGATGGATTTACTGGCATCGGCAACTGGCCTAGTCCATTGACATTTGTGACTTTTTTTGTAAGACGGGTGTGTTTTGTTTTTTTTGCCGATTTATTGGCATGTTTACTTTAGAATAGAGGTACTTCAGTAAAATCTAAACCATTACTAAATCTCCAACTATGACACGCTATACTCTTCTTTCAGAATCAAGATGGAGACTGTTCAAGAACGCAAGCCAAAAAGACCCCACTATATTCCCCGACCACCAGGCAAGCCTTTCAAGTACCAGTGCTTCCAGTGCCCGTTCACCTGCAACGAAAAGTCCCATCTTTTCAACCATATGAAATACAACTTGTGTGAAAACTCCATCTCCCTCGTATCACAGAAAAGTGGGCAAACAGCTAGACAGATGAAGGCAATGGCAAAAGCAATCCCTCCTAAAACTAAGGATTTAACAAATGCCCAACCAGCAGTTCAGAACAACACAGAGAAGCAGGGAGCTGAAGAGAAGAAAGCTGAGAGCACAGATGACACAGAAAAGGTCGATGTAGGGTGTGACAGTCCAGTCATCAAGGACAGTCAGAGTGCAGCAAATCCAAATATGGTTTCAGAGACACAGAGCACGGAAAGCAATGAGGAAAAGGATCAGACGCGCCCATCTGCCTTCTCACCTGTCACACCCAACCGTGACGGAGCAGAAGCTTTCAAGACACCTGTGAAGCAGACCGAGGACTTGCAAGCTCCTGTTCCCACTTTCAACCACCCACGCTTCCCATGGAGCACGGTTTCATCATCCATTCCCTTAAAATCATTCGCGCCTCTCTTGGTTCCCGAATATTCTCCTTATCTCCAGCCTGATCGGCCCCTATATCCACCTTACTATCTTCCAGGAAATCACCATGTGAATGAGCCAAATTCTCCTTCCTTTAATGCAGATTTTCTGGATCCCCAGAGGCCTATGGTACAACAACCAGTGACTCCAGCTAACACTTCCCCATTTCCCTCTTTCCCATACAGGTACTGCCATCCTCTTCACCCAGGGCACCCTCTGCCTTACACTCTGTACAGACCCCACGAGCTTTCTATGCCAATTGCAGGACACAGATATATTCCTTTGGATATGTATGGCCCAACTTTTGGCCATAAAGACTATGACTTGTACATACATTCACGTGCCAGTCTGAACCACCCACACACTTCTACACAAGCAGAGAGCCACCATGGGCAAAGTGGAGACAAGGCAACAAGGCTGAGTCCCAAAGAGGGCAGCTCAGCTCTGGGATCCCCTGACAGACCCAGCCAAGCTCACATCATCCAGCGAGACATCGAGGCGCTGAAGTACACCAACATCAGTGAGTCACAGATCGGCCCACAACTAGGAAACACGTCTACAGTGGTGCAACCCATCAAAAATGACTTAAGACCAGAGGAGTGTGCAGAAATGTCAGCTCAGCATGTAGACAGAGGGTAAGCAAAATTCAAAATTTTGGATGTATTAATTTTAAAAAAGTTTCTGTTTCTATTATTGTATTGTTATGTTGTGTACATTATGGTTTTGGCCTTTCCGTTTCAGATTCGCTGAGAACAGCAGATTTTCCTTCATGTCTGATTCTGATCCACATCCTGAAACTTCATCAGAGCGTCATGAAGTCGACAGCACAGATGATATGGCTCCCCTCAACCTCTCAACAAGAAACCAAGACAAGGAAAAAATTCAGTCTGTCGACAGACTGAGCTGCTCAGACACAGTGAAATCAACAGAGCATGAGTCGCCCCTGAACCTCAGCCTCAGAACTTCTCAGACCAGCCCTGTATGCAGCTCTCCAACAAGCACTTTAGAAGATCTTCAGCAGAGCTCCATTGAAAAGCTGGATGAAGAGCCTTGTGACCAGAGGCAGACTGCAGCTCTAGCACTCTGTCAGCTAGCCATTGCAAGCTCTGCAGCGTCTTCACGTGACTTCAGTACTATAGACGAGCCCTTGACAGATTCCACAGAAGCTAAAAGTCCTGTTTATCAAGAGAAGAGCAAACAAACGACCAGGGCCAAGGCAACAGCAATCAAAAGACCACACAGTGGAAAGGCTGAAAACAAATGCCATAAACCCAAGAGAGTAAAAGCGCCCGGACGGGTTCTGAGGAGGAGATCTCGTTGCTGCTAACAACTAAACTCTGACTATAATAAGGACTATCTCTGATCTAAAGTCTAAAAGCCTCATTGATAATGGACTTCTTATTGTATTGATTTAGCACTGAAAGATTTGACTGTTTTAGCCAATAGCACTGCTACAAGGTTAAAAATGTAAAATGTTACACTGTTCTTTTTTTTTTTTTAAATCTCAGAAATGACTTGAAAAGGTGATGAGCAAATTTTGCAAGTTTTCTAAAAGTTGAACAATTTTGTAAAGCAGACAACTGTAAATGTCATGTCATATGTATAAAGATGCTTAATAAAATAATAAAAGTTGTTTACAGTAGTCTGTGTATCATACATTAAGTATTGAGATAGTAAATCACCTACCATCTGTCAGTCTGGAAGGCAGCAGCAGTCCTCTTCTACCCAGTTCAGCAAGTGCCAGGCAGCCTCCATGCCAAGCGTTGTCTGTTTCCTGGAAGCTTCAGGATCAAAACACATGCAAAGCATATCAAAACGCAGAACATTGCCCCTCTATGAGGGGTAAGTAACAGAGAGAGCCGAAATGCCCCAAGCATGAATGTACCTGAAGCAGTCCAGCACTGATCCAACCACCTCATCTGCCAGCTCCTTGGGAAGCCTTCCAGTCACCCTCCCAATGCTGAGGGGTTAAACAACATAGATTACTGTAACACAACAACTCTTTCTCATGATCTGCTTTTGACATGTCAAAATACCAAAGACAAGCAGCAACATGGATGCGTTTTTATAAACAGTTCAGGTTTTTCAAGTGTCATAAATGGTTTGTTACCCCTTTGCTGCAGACCAGCGCACGATTGTTTCCTTATCTTTCAGTCCCAATAGCAGATGTTCTGTAGAATAACATGCAAATCAGCTTTTTTTATTTTATTATTATTTTTAAATCTTTTGTAAGGACAAACATTTTAAATTAATTGGAAGCAGAAACTTACCAATGACAGTCTCCACTTCCTCGGGAATGTCGTAGTCCTCCTCCTGTTCTTTTGTCTCCACTTCAGAGGTCGCACCAGTACTGTCTGCAGCCGATTGGGACATGGAAAGGTTTGCTGCTAAGGATCGGTTGCCTCTCTGATACCTGAAAATTTTGCATATTACAAAAAAGCACACACACAAAATGCATTTCTGTGTTTCTGCTTATTTTAAAAACTAGCTGGTACTAAATCTGACCTCCAAGCGGCCAAACGGGGCTTTAAAAAGGTAAGGCCGAGCCTCTGGGTTAATTTGACACCAAGCTTCCTCAACATGGCCTCACTGCTCTCTGACAGATGCTTCTTTTCCAGACACTGTAGAACTGCAGGAGCTGAGGAAATTTATTTATTAAATTTATTACATGAGCGAACACACAGGAATATAAAAAGTTTGTGGAAATTAATACTTAGATTGAAATATTTTCCAGGTAGTGAAGCTATTAAACAATTAGTTAAACAACAATCACATGCCAGTTATACAAGAGACAGCATGTCAGTGATTCTTTTTATTTATTTATTTTTGTCCCCAAAATGAGACTGTAGAGCAGAGGTAGGCAACTCCAGGCCTCGAGTGCCGATGTCCTGCAGGTTTTAGATGTGTCCTTGATCCAACACAGCTGATTCAAATGGCTAAATTACCTCCTCAACATGTCTTGAAGTTCTCCAGAGGCCTGGGAATGAACTAATGATTTGATTCAGGTGTGTTGACACAGGGTGATGTCTAAAACCTGCAGGACACCGGCCCTTGAGGCCTGGAGTTGCCTACCCCTGCTGTAGAGCAAAGTCTTGCTTCTTACTTTGTGCATGAACAAAGAAAAGGAACCTACCATACTGCAAGAGGTCATCTCGTTTTCCATGCTTGAAGAGCTTTGCCTGTAACATAGTTTGTTTTTTTTAATGCAGCTGGTACATAGCTGCACTTTTAAGCATCTCCCATTAACCACAAAAACATGTAAGCTTGAGTTCTGAAGTCTTGAGACTAAATGCACAGAGCCAGTTTTGAATGCCCTAAGCAACACCTTGGCTCCAGGTTCATTTAGCAAACATTAAGTGCAAAGCGACGCTTTTTAAAAACATGCTATACAAGTTTACGTGCCAATTATACAACATTCATGTGCATGCTTGTGGGATCCATTAGATCACCTTAGATTAGACAAAGTGATCTAAACGTAGCTTATCAATGAAGGTGTAACATGGGAAAAAACTTCTGTTGTCTTAAAAAAAAACAAAAAACCAAGAAACGTTTTGCTTAAATCATTAGATGAAATTGAATTAAGTCACTTGAAGCAAGAGATCCCACACATGCAGCAGGTGCATAACACACCTGCTAAAACCACACAGGCTATTGTGTGAAGCATACCAGTCATGTCAGCTCTTGTAAGTCCCCCTCGACAGGTTTTTATACACACAGACTACACTGTCTTCAAACACACATACACACACAGACAAGTATGCACACAACATACAGGCTTGAGTGTGAGTGCATATGTTTACCAGAGACTGCAGAGCACCATCCAACACCACAATGTTTCTTAATGATTGATCATTGGTCTGGGATATAGTGGCTAGATTCCAGTCCAAAAAGTCTCCGAGGCGCTTCTGTTTCACATCAGGGCGAGTCACGAACCTGCAGAGTCATGTAAAATAAGACAACACCATGAAAGACCAAATCGCTGACACTAAATATAACAAGAGCAATCTTGCCCTCTACTGGCTAAAGACCTGATTACAGATCAATAGTTTTAAATTGTTTTTTGGAATTTAGTTAGAACGAATTTACTTAGAATCTGAGATATATTTGTAACCAGAGGCAAAATGCTTTAGTAATGATCCTGTATGGTTTTCAGTTAAAAACATATTTTCACAAACATAAAGGTGCAAAGTTAAAAACATCGTAACTCTGATTTTTAGCTTAGCTTTGAAGCAACACACTGTAAAATAATTAAGATTATGGTCATTTGAAAAATACCCTGGTTTCCACTAGACTGAAAGTGACTATGATGTCAGCAGCACCTGAAACACACACCATATCTTAAATCTAATACTGCATGCTACACTCTCCACTCCAACACACAGATGTCTAATGGAACAAATACCAGAAATAATTTATTAAACAGCAGGGGGAAACATTATTAGATCATAAAAAACTAAGTTTAAAATAAAGTCCATAAGAATTTGAACAATGTAAATCACTAAAAAAGATTTTAAGTCAAAGAATCAACATGTGGTTGAACTGCAGACTTTCAGGTTTAACTCAAGGGCTTTGACAGAAATATTGCCTCGACAATATTACTACACTCTGCTCAGATTCAACCAAATGCAGGTGCATATATCCCACCTAATGCTAATGATAAGCTTGCTATGAGCGAAATCCATGCGGCCATTAGCAAACAACAACCTGTACACACTGAGGCTGCATTTATTGTAGCAGGTGACTTCCACCACTCCAACCTAAAGACAGTATTAGCTAAATTTTATCAACATGTCTCCTGCCACACAAGAGGGGACAACACAGGACAATGTGTATACAATTGCAATTCTTTTTCTGATAACATATTTTATTCTGTTATATATAGTATTTTATTCTATTCTATAGTATATAGTATCTTATTCTTATTATCTTATCCTACTCCAGTGTTTTTCTTAATTTTTGCTACTGTAACTTTAGACTGTTCACTTTCTGCTGTGGTACAACAAATTTCCCATGTGTGGGACTAATAAAGATTATCCTTATCCTATCCTATTGCTGGAGCCTACACGGTAACGCCCCTCCCCCACCTGGGACAGTCTGATCACCTTTCTTTGTTTCTCCCCCGAATATTCACCGCTCATCAATCGTGTGAAACCATTAGTGAAGACAATCAAAGTGTGGCCAATGGGAGTAGGTTGTGTACTCCACGACAGATTTAAAAACATGGACTGGAGCATGTTTACCTCTCAGGTATGTTACTAAAAACACTGTTTAACTTTAAGTGTCTGTATGGTATTTGTCCACTTACTTTGATACCAATACAGATGCTGCATTTCTTGCACTGTCGCTCACAACTAGATAAGACTGTGGAAGGAAAAAAATAGTGAGATTATTCATACTGTTTAAAAATACACAAACACATACTGTATTATGCAAATTCGAAAAAATTGACAAAAATCTTAAATGACAAGATTAAATCTAGTGCCAATATCACACTGCTGGATTTTCTTGTTAAGGAATCTCTGGTGGATGAGTTTGTACAGGAAGGCATATATATCATCAAAAATCAAGCCGCAACACTACATAGCGACTCCCAAAGTGTGGGCCGGGACCCCTGACGGGATGCAAAGGCACTGTAGTAATAGAGATTCACTTTAAAATTACTCTCAGATATGTACAGTTAAATATTTCTATAAAATTAGTTTATGTATATAAAAAACTGGTAATATGAGATGGTTTACTCCTTATTCTGACCTAATTTCACTACTCTTGTACTGAAGTTTGTGTCTCAGTGGAAGGTGGGTCACACATTGGCCTTAGCACTTTACATATGACTGAGTAGCATTAGCTATCTATAACCAACAGCCTTTGTTATGTTTTTTAAATAAGTTTTTCAAGGAAACACATCACTTTCTTTTTTATTTTGATTTGAGTTAAAAATTTAAGACTAAGTGGGCCCCATGCGATTTTCTTTTTTAAGTAGGCCACAGCACTCTTGACTTTGGCAATGGCTGTGCCAAAACATAAAAACATCATATCACTTTGGTATAACTAACCTTGGCAATAGCTAGAATGCGATCCATGATAGGCTCTCTAGCCTTACCACCATCTGACTCGAGGTGGCCATCCAGACGAGAAAGATCGAAGGGTATGAGGCAGGTCATAGACAGCCATAACAACAACATGTACCGAGTTTCCCAAGTCTGGAACAAGTAAATAAATAAAGATCAAAACAATATACACTATTGCCTATAGGTATATGTAACTGATGCATCAGTGTGAAGCTATTATTTTTCCCTTTAAACTAAAGCCTCACCTCAGAGTCACTGGGATCCTGTCTGGACATCAGGTCCAGAACTGGCTGGACATCGGCCACCTCATGAGGAAAAAGCTGCATGAAAATTTTATAGCCTCTGACCTAACCAGAAATAAACAAACAACGTGCAGGATTAGTGAATCTGCTGCATAAGACATGCGTGAGTGCAATCACATTGCGGCTTTTATTCAGTGCAGTCAGGAGGTTTTTAATGAGAAAACTGACCTTGCAGATTACGTAGAGGAACTTGAAACACAAATGAACCAACGAAGGTGGAGACTTTTCACTCCTTATAAAATCCAGTATCATATTTAACATCCATTCTAAAATAAAAAAGGAACAAAATAAGGAAGGAAGTGTTTTTATAAACTGAGTGATTTTATTTGTAAATTAGCTGTTGTAGTGTACCTAGATGAGGGTCCAGCAGATGAGGCTGCTCTTGATATCTGTTCATTATTACTGCAGGGAGAAATTAGCAGACCATCACGTCTCCAAACTAATCACTTAAAATTGCTTATCTTGGGGAAGCTGATTTATTTGTGACCGTCTCACCTAGGAACCTCTCTGTAGTAGACTCCCTTGGCCCCAGGTCTCCGTGGACCTCCGGCAGGCTGGAGATGAGGGCTGTGGTCTCGCCTCTCTCACTGAAGCTGCCCAGCACACAAGTCTGCACAATAGCGTCCGCCTCTCCTCCTCCTTCACCACCGGAAAACCCATTCTCCGTCTCCGATAGAGCCATTATCGCAGACCTTTAGCACGAGTATCTGTTGCAAGTTATGACAGGTTTAGCTAGCTAATATTAGCATTTGTGCCAACAAATAAAAGTGGAAAGGTGGAAATTATTCCAGGAAACTGGTGAATTGAATTAAAACATATACTGATAAGATGCGTAGGAGGTTCAGAGAGTATACGCGCGAAATATGGCAGCTCTCAAAATTATATAAACTTCACTGGACACAACTATTGTTGATGTCTATAACGATGCAGCTAGCTGTTGTAGTTGTACCCCGCCCCGGTACGGCAAGCGAAATGGCTCACGTGGTTAACAGGGGCGGAAAGAAAAGTCCCAGGTCACGTGTTCTCTAGACCGTATTAATACAGGATATGTTTACTAACCTTTTACTAAACAGTTATTTGGGCTGCTGTGAAGTTGACCTAATGATGAAACATTTCTATCCAAATGGGATTGTTTTTCTTTTCCATGCCTCCATTCACAGGGAATTAAGGTGTGTAAATCTAGTGTGTAAAGGTTTTCAAACTAGATAAATAACAAATTCAGCAGGTCTGGAAAAACACAATGGATTCGCTTAGGATTTAATAATGGTTATACCATGCACAACAAGGGCTTGCAATGACTCACTGTTATACAGGGATATTTTGTAGGTGTAGTTAGTATGCCAACCTTTATTCCATTCGTAGCCATTCTACTATAATGTAGATAAAATATAAAACATTGCATCCATAGTGAAAGTCAGATTCTGGTTTGTTCTACCTGCTTATAAAGGATTCCTCAATATTAACATAAATAAATAAAAAACAATAATTTTTAAGTTCAGTCATTGGTGTGTAGTACAGACTTCTGATTTGCAAGTTTTGTTTAATTTATGTCTATAAACACTTAATTCACTGTAACACCTTGTGCAAAATACAGAATTTATTTGCAGATTCTGTTTTAAATATTAGGAAGCAGGAAAGTGTCAGATGAGCTGGCAGGATGCAACTGTTTTTTCTATGTTAGGTCAGTATTTTCTGCACAGTACAGAAGACATTAAAGTGTTAGATGTGTTGTTTAGTGTCTTCACACACTGTTTTTGGTCAAATAAGCAAAATCGCATAATACTTCAATGTAAGACTGCAATGCTTTCTAAGAGTGCCTGTGAGTGTGTTTATTTCAGCAGGGTCTTCATAACTCTTATGGAAGAACCTTTGTAACCACCACCAAAGTGGTTCCAGTGATTCAGGTAGTGGAAGAGTTGGTAAAGCTGGTTCCTCTTTGCAAATCCTGGTGCTTGGGGAATCTTGCTGTGGTATGCAGAGTAAAAAGCACTATTGAAGCCACCAAACATCCCGGCAATACCCAACTCAAACTCAGAGTGGCCGTAGAAGGAAGCAGGATCGAAGATGACTGGGCCGTCTGCACATTCTGCCACGTTTCCTCCCCATAAATCTCCATGTAGGAGAGCAGGGACTATCTCCACATCTTTGAAGAACTGAGGGATCTTCAGCTGGAAATAAGAGACACAACATGCACATTACAATGCTGATACAATCATAATGTCTTATGCAAAATATGTTTAATTTCAAACAGGATCAAAGGGAGGTTGCACCTGTAACTCAGCCCATAGTTCTCTGGTCTCCCTGTCTCCATACGATTTCTCCACCATGTTAAGCTGGTGCTGTAGCCTCTGCTGGGTGTAGAATGGAACCCAATCACTCTGCCATTGATTGTCCTGGAGAGGTAAGAATGAGAAAAAACTGTGATGCTGCTGAAATTCACTTTAACATCTTGAAGATTTGGAGACCAAACATTTGTAACACAACTTAGAGACAACAATACTGTACACCTTCCCCTAGAATGCATATACATTGGCTTTACCTGTGGCAGATATCCACAGCATGTAGTTACATGGAAGCCAAATTTTTCAACAGCAGCCACATCTGACTGCCCCGCTCCTTTTCCTGCATATATAGCCGTAATATTAATAAACAGTAATCACAAACTTTTTACCTTAAATATGACACAGTTCATTATTATTCATTGGTGTGTGTGTGTGTGTGTGTGTGTGTGTGTGTGTGTGTGTGTGTGTGTGTGTGTGTGTGTGTGTGTGTGTGTATTATCCACATTGTGGCATCCTAAAATGAAGTTAAACTGAATTACCCACTGTCTGCTGCTCTTTATTTAATTTTTCCAGTTGTTTCTTGTTGTGAAGATGCAGATCTGCCATTTTCTCTCCTAGCCGTTTTGAGTACCTGCTCATTGTGTTTAAAAATAAAGTATGTCATTGAAAAAATATTTTGCTCATGTTTCTAAAACTAAATTCATCTGCCCAAATTCTGCTTTAATCTGCACTAAAGAAAAAAAAATGTAGTCAAGAGCTCTCTTACTTGCTAAGACTGTTCATGTCCAGATGTTCCATCACAAATACAGAGCCTCCTGTGTCAAGCTCAATCACCTTTATGGGCTTGGGGACTTTCACGGTTTCTGTCTTTACAATAGCCTCCAGACTGGCCATTTCTCCATCAAACATCAGTTTGGCCTGGATAATTTAAAGACAGGACAACACGGTCTGGTAAACACAAGCTTCAGTAAATGTGAATTTTTGCATTGTTCTCCACTCCACAACATCTACACAAAGTCCACGGACAGTAGTGTGGTGCAGCTGCTGGATCATGTCCCATTCATTTACCGGTAAGTCCCGAGTTGAGCACACGCCGAAAGCCGATCATGAACTGAATGACACAACAGTTAAAGAAAATGAAAAACTAACAATGACAAATACCTCACTCTTGTGATTTATCTTTACAAACACTTTCCCAGTGTCAGTATGATAACTCTGTCCCTCGCTGATGCATCCACCTCCAGCATGACCAGATGATTTCAGCATGGTTGTCCCCAACTCCTTCTTTAACTTAGCTTCCATGATTCTGATTCTGATTCTGATGATTATTTATCATCAGTTCCAGGACAGTTACAGCAGGACTAAAACCACCTACGCATCGCAAATGCGGGTATGAAAGTCTTTCTGACAGTTTCCGTTGCGGCAGCCAACCAGGACTTTGTCCCGAAGCAGGATCTTGTTTTTCTTCCGTTATGTAAATAATGATTGAGTAGTAGCCAATCATAAACAAGTCTGGGTTGATTGATTTCTACTTTGCCCAATAGTTGCGACGTTTGTCCGGTCACGTGAACGTCGCCATGGTGCCAAGTGAGGCTACAGCTATACGCTACGAGTTTAACTATGGTTCTGCGGAAAAACCGGCATGACCAGCAAAGAAATGTGTTTACTCCTCGGAGCGACCGGTGTTGGAAAGACGTTGTTGCTCAAACGTCTACAAAATATCCTTTGTGGCCATGTGAATTTCTTTGACGTAAAAGGAAATACTACCAAATAGCTTAATTAGCTAACTAATTTAGCGTATGAGCTTGTGTAGTACTTAAGTTGCTACGTAATGGACGACCAGGGTTTGTATATCGTCTTTCCCAATTGCCAAATGTCGATACCCAGTGTTATTTTATTTTGCATCGGTATGTGTACAAATTCATTTTCATAATAAGATCTGTAAGAGAGATTATTATTACAATATTTAAGCTTTGGTAGCCCTTATTAGTCCAATAGTTTGGAAATTCACATTACAGCAGAAATTAGTGCTGTACTGTAATGTGAAATTGTCAATGGTCAGAAAGTGGATAATAACAATTATAATTATATAAAACAATAGGAAACATGTACAAGATAGACGAAGTATAATTTAAATGTGTGTACATATATGGCGCAGTGATAAAATAAAATAACATCTTTAGATGCCTAGAAGCAAAAAAACAGAGCCCCAGATGATGCTAATAGAAGATGGAGTGTTGAAAACAGTTGCACACTGTGATTTATCAGTCCCCAATGTGTGCATGTGTAAGTATACATGTGTTTTACTGCTGCGGCTCTGCTGGATGGAAAGACCTCCAATATTGCTCCTTTACACACCGTGGGTCCAGCAGGCTGACGCTGAAGAAGCTGCTCAGTGCTGTAAGAGTGTCCTGCATGGGGTGGGATGTGTTTAGCTACCATGCTACCTGTCACTTACTACCTCCACTGGGTCAAGAGGGCATCACGTTGGCACTCTTGGTCTACCTGTTTCAATTCTTTTTGTCCCCAGTAGAGATACTGCTGCCCCAACAGACCAGCACCATTACAGATAGCTGTTGGAATCACAGAGTCTTCAGGAGCTTCTCCTGCACTTCAAAAGTCCTTGGCATACTTACCAGATACAGCCTGCTCTGTCCTTTTCGGTAAATAGCATTTTTTTTGATATAGTCCACATTCTCCATTTCGTAAGTGGTGAAGGATATTTGTGCCTGTGGACGTTCACCACCAGCCCTTTGGTTTTTCCAGTATTTATCTGGAGGCAGTTCTCGTTCACATAGCTATTTCAGAGATTGAAAGGGAAGTGATCTGCAACAGCACAAGTTAAACACTATCCTCCAGTTGCCTAGATTACATGCATGGGGCCCATCGCATATAAACTTAGCCCAAATTGGTGGATTATTAATAAACTGTCATCTGAACAGATGACGTGATTTCATTTGTGAGGTGACAAGTCAACAGTAGTCTCTCAGCTGTGACATCACCAACCTTACTCATAACAAATATTCAAGTTCTACTTTCATAGCTCATAAAATATTGCGTAAACATTTCAAAATGTTTTTCTTTAAAGCTGATAGCAATGCTGTCTCCAGTCGATTTTCCTATCAGATTTCATTTACAGTTTATCGTACATGGTTTAGATGAATTGGGGACACCACCTTCAACTCTTCCCACAGTAAGTACTAATGGACAGTTCAAAGTCTCTGACACCTTATCCATGTAAGTTCTCCATCTCCAGTCTTCATTCTTTGTAGGTAGGAACCAATCTGACAGATCTAACCGTGAAGAAGAAGAAGGTGACTGTGAGAGAGCTGGGAGGCTGCATGGGCCCTATATGGCCCAGTTACTTCAAAGACTGCTCCTCTGTCATTGTATGATCTTTGTATACATGCTGTTTATATTTGTAATATTCAATATGGGTTTACTAAATTGAAGTACTTGAGTAGATTTCTTTTGTTTCTCCATAGTTCATGGTGGATTCGGCCAACATTGCTCAGATATCCTCCTCCTGTATCCAGTTGCTGTCAGTACTGTCAGCTGAGCCTCTGAGCAAGGCCTCTGTGCTTATTCTCTTCAACAAGAGGTGACACTCGTAGAATACACATCAGTCTCTATTAGTGTTTTACCATATTGTACAGGATCTCTAGCAGGTTTAATGCGATTTGTATGTAATAAGGAAAGCTAATAATACCACTAGGAAATTTTTGATTTTCTTTTCCAATTTTATATTTTCTCCCAGGGACATGCCTTGCACTATGAGCCTTATAGAGATAAAGTCACTGTTCAGGATGGATGACATTGTTGCATCTGCGACTCAGCCAATCACAACACTGGAAGTCAGTGCCAGATCTGGAGAGGGACTTAAAGAGGTGATGAGCTGGCTGGAGTCCGTCACAGTCAAGTGACATACGCTTACTGATTACTTCATTAGGTACACAATTACGCTTTCATGCAAATATCTAATCAGCTAATAACATACCAGTAACTGAATTAGTTTAAGCATTGAAACATGGTAAAGATGATCTGCTGAACCGAGTTCTCTGGCCTTGTTGTTGTAGATCATAGGTGTCAAACTCTGGCCCGCGGGCCAAATTTGGCCCGCAGCCTAATTACATTTGGCCCGCGAAGCCATACCAAATTACTATTAGAGCTGGCCTACTGGTATTATACAGCTAATATATATATTGTTTAGTATTAAGCTGTGCTTGTTCCATATTCAGTTTTTCAGCAAAATGTGTTTGAGTCCATAAGAAAAGATTCATTCTTATATCTGGAGGAATAAATATATTTCAGTAAATATTAACGTTAGCCCGCGACTTTGTTCCAGTTTTGAATTTTGGCCCACTGTGTATTTGAGTTTGACACCCCTGTTGTAGATGGTCAGAGGAAAAGGAGACCAGAGGGGCTAAGAACAGGAAACAGGCTATAGTTTGCACAGGCTAACCAAAGTTAGACATCAAAGAATTGAAAAATGTTGCCTGGTCCAGTGAGTGTAAGTTTCTCCCGGCAATTTGGATGGTATTGTTACAATTTGGCATAAATAAAATGAAAGTATAGATCCACGCTGCCTTATATCAGAGGATCAGGCTGGTAGTGGTGTAATGGTGTGCCGGATATTTTCTTGGTACCCTGCACCCAGCAGGATAACGCAGTATGTCACAAAGCTCCAGTCATGAACTTGACAATCAGTTCACTGTACTCAAATGGCCACAAGAGTCACCAGATATCAATCCAGTGGAGCACCTTCAAAGTCTGGTGCAAACTCACACCATGGTTGTGCATATGACAGATCTGCAGCAAATACATAAGACTGTCAAGTCAGTATGGACCAAAATCCAAGGAATGTTTCTAGCACCTTGTTAAATAGAATTAAAACAGCTCTGAAGGAAAAATGGGTCCAACCCTGAACTAGTGAGGTATACTTAATAAAGTGGCCAGTGACTGTGTGTGCGTGCGTGCCAGTTTCTGTATTTGTATCTTATAATAGTGATACTGTTTATACAAAAAATGTTCTGCCTTTTGGTCTTTATCAGCTTATATGCTACTCTGTTGAGGTTTTCATGGTGTGTTTCTCGTGTAAGAGTGTTTATCTTTGGTAGCACAAAGACATAACTGTACATTAGGCAGAGTGAAGAGGACGAAGTGATAGTATAACAGGCTCAAATGATTGTCTCATTTGTAAAGGTCTTACTTTCATGCATTTGTTAGTCGACGCAGAGTGGGAATCTGGGGTATTCCTGATTGATACTGTCACTTATAAGAGTTCCTGTTTTCTGTTATGGCTGTTTTCCATGGCTGTAAATCACGTGAACTCTGTCTGAAATTTAAAAAAAAAAAGCTCTTTCACTTCAGATTTAATATAAAAAACGAGTAACAACTCTTATAGAACTTTATGAAGATTTTACAGAATATTTTCTCATGTAAGGCATTCAGTATTTATCTTTGTATATGTTTTTTTTTTCTTAATGAAATTTGGATTTTGTGTATGAACTTTGTTTTCAGTGTATGTGGATGTTATGTTTTAATTGAGAGGAGCAGTTTTGTGTTTCTTTTTTGGCTTATTGTCACTTTTTTCTGTTTATTCTGGTAGTGATGCAATGTAAGAAGAGGTAATATTGCTGACTTCACTACCAGCAGGGGGCGCAAACTGCTTATGAGACAGTGATACGGAGTCGTCATGATTTCATGTGGCATGTATTGATACCAAGGGAAATGAGTAAATGCAAGTGAATAAACCCATGTGAAGAACTGAGCAGTGTTGTAAATACACTCCTATATTTGGTGAAGTCAGTGGTTTGCAAGCAATGAATAAACTCATATTCATACATTTTCTAAGGTTACTTCATATGAATTATTTGCTCACAGTCCTCCCAAACTATTACTTCATTCGCCACTTGAATTTCACAATAGCAGACTGGTATACACTGATTTTCCCCCACCAGCTCTGTTCCAGCCATATACCAGTATGATGCAGTACTTCAAGCAGCGAACAGGTAGATGTGCACATACCGAGAATGTGTAATCAGCAGTGACCACCTAAACCTGTAATGCATCTTCCCTCTACTTACAGCTTAGTTTGTTGACAGCAAAATATTATCAGACCTTTTGTTTCTACATTGTAGGGTATGACCTTGAAATTGTACTTGACACTTAGTAGTTAGATTTAAAAAAATAAAAATAAAATAAGGTGTTATCTCTGTTGTAGTCTGTTCATTAAAAGAGGAGCAGGATATGTTGCTGCAGTGAAGAGCAGATTCAGCTTGCGTCTACCTAAAGGTTATTGTGCATTACAAGAATATAAAAACAACTAAGAATAGGTTTTTCATACAAGTCCATTGGGCTGTAGTTTGGTGTGCAGTTAGAGCAATAGTTCAAGAGGACAATTTAGTGAATTTCCATTTTTCTAAAATATTTTTTCCGGTTTAGTTTGTCCTCATAAGAAGGGGTTTTGACTGCTCTGTGCGGCCTGTGATCCCTGAGCACTTGCTGAAGAGAAAGGCAACAAGGGCTCAGGGAGCCTCACTGGCAAGTCCAGTCCAGGATGGGTGGGGTGAGTATGTGACGACGGGATGCTGGCACCCGGATGATTTGTAGGCAGCGGCAAGGAGGCACTGTATGGAAGAGAAGTGGCATGGGGAGCCGTCAAGGCGGAGCCGGTGCCCATTTGATTTAGACTTAGTTTCGGCTGATCTGCTTGGAATGGATTGCTGGGTGAAGGAGCATTCAGGCCTATGTGAAAAGAAATAAAGAGAAAAAGTCTACTTTTAACACCTGTTCAAAGTTTATTTTTTCTAAAACTGAGCCTTGAACCTGATGAGTCAATGACCTCTTTATGTCTCTCATGACGCTACAGTTTCAAGCACACACTGTTCCCAAAACTCATCTGAGATTTAAAAGGCAGGAACAAAAAAAACTTTAATTCTCATTCACAAACCAACTGGAGATCACAAAAAACAGATACCAGCAAGGATAAATGGAAAAATGGAAATATCTAGCACTCTGCACGTGGGGGTTTTACTGCAGTCGTTACATGGCAGCAGATTATCACTCGCCTGCATTTACCAGTACATGGCACACACTGGTAAATGATTAACACTGCCAGGTGGTGGTTGTGCTCATCTTATGCACAACCAGCACCTGGCTGATTTGAATACAATGTTTTAACTACTCTGTATGTCCAATAACAAAGTGCAATGACTGCACCTGCAGTCAATAATACAAAACATACCTGATAAAAACGGGTTCTTGTTCATGGCTGATGGGTTTCCTGGGATCAAGCTGTCCAAGTTCACCAAGGAAGCTGCCGAAGGGTCCAGGAAGGACTCGGGTGTCCGGCATGTTCGAGAGCTGGGGTCATTCAGGCTTTCTCGAAGACGAGAAAGGTCAAAAAGCTCAGGGCTGTCCTCTCGCCCACTAGCCCCGTTCACCTGACCACCATCCATAGCGTCATCAAACAGATCAGCATCTGTCAGCAGAAAAGTAGAAAGACAAGTAAGACTGCAAGTGGAACCAACGTACAAAAAGTAGAACAAGAATAGCAGATAGTGTATTGTTTACCTGAGGGACTTAGAGTTCGGGGAGCAGGTTCTGTAGGTGCTGATCTTCCTAAAGGCGCTGTGAACAGATCAGCTCCTGACGAGGATAAAAACATGACAGAAATGCTATTTAACTTTCTGTGGAACATAGGTAGTTTTTAAGATATCCAGGTGACGTCTTTATTTTAGTTACCCTACTTGTAAGTGAAAACACTCACCTGTATTTGCAGGCAAAGACCATACAGGACTGAGGCTGGAGACATTGTCCTGTGGTGGATCCCAGGGGTTGGCTGGAGGTTCCCACGGTGGGGGAGGGCTATTTGAAGGTGGAGGTACCATCCATGGAGAATCAGCTCTTGGAACGCGGCTGCCTTCTTAATTAACACACAAATAAAAGAGTGTTAGCCGGTGAGCAGTTCAAATTATTTTGTAGGTACAAAAAGCAGAGAGTTTCATGTAAAAAGAAAAAAAAAAAAGAAAAAAAAAAAAAAGATTCTTCATCTTCATACGATTCCATCTAAAATAATATACCATGACCAAGCCAACTCAAGGCTCACCGAAAGAGTCCCAATGGTCTGTACCTCCAGCCCCAGCAGCTGCCTGGTGTGAGGCATTATTCCACCGATGGTCACTGGGAGGCAGATCTGTGGGTACTGCGAAAACATCTACCAGGTCCATAAAGGCCGTCTGACCAAATTCATCAAAGAAAAAAACAAAACCAGAAAAAGTTTATATTTCAACATATATTTTGACAGTATTATTGAATGTTTTCATAGTCATATACTACTGCTTATGTTTCAAGCTTTCATACCCCGCCTTTTTTCTCCATTTCACGTTTGCTCTCGTCCAGAGCTTTCCGGAGCAGGGACTCATCTCCTTGGCGGCTGAGCTGCTCCTTTCAACAGATAAAAGACACACGTAAGCCTTTACGGGTCACATATTGTCACATCACACTATATTTCTCATTCAGTGACGGTGCACAGGAAAAATAGATGGCTTGCATTTTTCCTATGCAACATATGTACACAGTTGGCAGAAACCAGAAAATTCCCTGGCCAAAGAGAGGACAGAAAGCAGAGCATCCCTGTGATCTCTAACAGAGCAGTTCTATTGTGTTACTATATAGGAGTGTAGACAGAGAGGGTAAAAAAGGGGGAGGAAAGAGACAAAGAGAGTGAGACAGGAAGCGGGGGTCCAAAGGTTGCCGAGATAATACAACAAAGTGAACGTTATACAACTTTTTCAAACAAGGCAAAGAAAAGGAAGCAGAAAGTGTGGCAATAAGGTACTGTAAAGGTTGTATGGGGGAAAATATAATTAAAAAACAAAATACAGAGAGAAAGGATGATTTAGGACAAGTGGCACTGATCATATAATGGCTTATGTTGTAACAGAGGACTGAAATTAAACAGGTAATATTCTCCTCAGCTGTTCAGGAAGCAAGTCTGAATTTACATTATAAATAAAGTATTGTGCAAAAGTTTTGACCCACATTTAATTTCCTTATATATCACTGGGATATAAAGAAATAGGCAAAATAGTAATGTATTCATTTATGATTTATTTATTTAAGATGTGGAATAAGATGGCTTGAAATACAGCATATATAGCAGCTTTCTTTCTCTCTTCTTTGGATGTTGGCTGTCTTTACTTCTGTTCTCTGTCAAGATGATCTCACACTGTTACAATAATGTTGAGGTGTGGGCTCTGTGGAGGTTAATTCATGACCAATAGTGTTCCACTGTGTTTTTCTTTGCTGGGTTTTTCCTGTTTCTTAAGAACATGATAAACCCTGAGACACATTGGCGACCTGCCCAGGGTGCACCCTACCATTCGCCCTATGGCAGTTGGGATACGCTCCAGCCCACCCATGACTCTGAATTGGATAAGCAAAAGAAGATGGATGGATGACTTTCAGATGCTTTCCATTTCCTTTTTTAGTCCTTCCACTTCTTTTGTCCTCCACTTGTCTGATTTTCTTAAATTTATAATGAACACACCGCACACCATGCTGAGATATGGCGAGTTTTAGCTAATAGCTTTGTGGGAATCACCTTGTTGGTGCAAAATGATTCTTTTTGGTTTGTCAAACCGTGTCATCTTTAGTACTTTTCATAGATTCAACTAAAGAAAATGGAAAAAAAATTTGATTTTTGTGACAGACTGGAAGTGCCAAAATATACAAAATATTACAGTTGCTTCTTTGCTAAGTTGTCTGTGTTCTTTTTTTTTTTTGCTTAAATGATTGTTTTTTTAAGCCACGTAACACTGCCAAGAAAATAAAAATCCTTTAATAATGAGTGGAAAAAACAGTCAATGTCCAAGGAAAAGCTTTGAAAGACCTCCAAAAAGTCTGGAGAATTATGGCTTAAGACAACTTCAAAAAATAAAACAGTTACAAGAAGTCTGGTTCTGTAGAAGCCAGAAATGAGGGGTGGCTCAAGTCTTTTGCACAGCACTGTAATTCACACTGAAGTGACAAGTGTGGTCACCTGCACCTTCATTTTTTATAAATAACTTGTGAAAAATGTCACGACAGTTCTTACTGTCTATTTCAAAAGTGCTTAGGAAATGGTTCAAGTCCTCTCACCCACTCCCCAGGACACTCTACCTGCTGGTGCTCCTCCTTGCTCAAGCTCAGGGCCAACTGGAGCTGAGTTTCCTCGTCCATATCCAGGGCAGCAGCAGGAGCGCGTTGGACTGGCTGTGAAAGTGTAAACCAAGGAGGGATTTACAGTCAGCTTTCCTTTTAACAGAAATAAAGTTGGGCATCCTCACAGTACTTCACAAGCAAATTTAACAGGTTTCCCAATCAATGTGAAGGAGCTAGTCCTTTGCCCTTCCCTGGCACCACACCAGAAGGTCAGCAGCACCAGGTCAGAGCCTGAGATGTGTGTCTTATAGTGTACTCAGAGGAAACAACTTATGGTTAGTATAAGAAAAAACAAAGGATGAAACCACAATTGGTTAATTTTTAGAGAAAGTTGCATATTTCTTTGCTGTTCAAAAGTGAGTGAGTGAAGGGGGGATAGTTCAGTTGTAGGAAGGAGAGAAAGTGAGTAGGCATGCAGTTGCTTCTGTGAAGGAAAAACACTGGAATGTGATACTGGGTTAAATGTTTAAACCAAGGGACAAAGAAAAAATGCAAAGGTAGCTGCATCCCTCCCAGTATACATGTACCTGGTGGGCCTCCTCTTTGCTGAG